CTAGACTCCAATATGTCTTTCCAGCCCCAGATCCAATCGCTGACAAATTCATGCAGACTTCACTTCTGCAACATCTCCAAAATATGCACGTTCCTAACTCCAGAAACTACAAAGCAACTCATTTACTCCCTTATCATATCACGATTTGACTACTGTAACTCCCTCCTCGCCGGCCTACCCCAATACAGGCTATTCCCGCTTCAGTCTATCCTGAATTCTGCTGCCAGACTCATCCACCTTACCAACCGCTCCATATCCGCCACCCCCCTCTGCCAATCCCTCCACTGGCTTCCGATTGCCCAACGCATTAAATTCAAAATAATAACATTGACGTACAATGTTGTTCATAGCACTGCCCCAAAAACTACATCACCGACCTGATATCCATCTACCACCCAAAACGCACTCTCCGCTCCTCACAAGACCTCCTACTCTCCAGTTCCCTGGTCTCCTCCTCCCATGCCCATCTCCAGGACTTCTCCAGGGCTTCCCCCATCCTCTGGAACTCACTACCCCAATCCATCAGACTGTCACCTACTCTCCTCACCTTTAGGCGCACCCTGAAAACCCATCTCTTTAGAGAAGCCTACCCCGCCTCACCTAACTGCTAATCTCCTTTGCTCTCCCCACCACTCCAGCCCCCACAGCTATTTCCTCCTGTACCACTCTCCCCTCCCTCCTAGATTGTAAGCTCCAAGGAGCGGGACCCTCGAACCCCTCATGTATTTTATTGTATTGTTACTGTACTGTTTCATGTATTGTCTCCCATTGTAATGTACAGCACTGAGCAAACTGTTGGCGCTATATAAATACTGTGTAATAATAATAAATAATAATTCAGCCACAGCCAAAAACACACAGGATTGAAGAATAAAATTGCTCATCAAAGCACAAAGAGAAAAATCTTGACCTACATACTGCACTTACATGGCACTTCCCGCTTTTCTTTCCTTCATGTTTAAAGAGTTGGCTTGCTCTGGAATGGCTGCTGTTTGTGCTGTTTAGGATCTCAAGGACACTTAAAGGCGAAGTTCACTTTTGTTTTTTAAATACAATCCAGCTCCCCTATACACCAATATACCATTAACGTATCTCAGTTGCAAAAATATTCAAGCTCTCTTTTATCTGGAGAGCAAGGCCTTACCTTAGTCCTTGGTGAATTTCTTTCAGTTCCCAGAATGTAGACAGAGGACAGAGGAGCCAGTAGGACCCCAGAAGCAAATTACCAGCTGATCTTATTAGCACACACATCCTGCACTGACCTTATTAGTACACACCCTTCACCCATCAACTATTTTCTTCACAGCATCCCTGGGATCTCTACCAACATGCATTTGCCTTGCTACCCCAGCATCCCTCAGAATGGCTCAGGCTGCACGCAGCCGACGAGACACCCTGATGTAATGCAAGGGCACGCTTGATTGGATAGATGCTGTGTCCTCCTATTTTTTATATATATATATATATATATATATATATATATATATATATATATATATATTTTTTTTTTCCACACAAAAGATTTATTGAGTAGAAAAGAAAGGGAATATCATAAACATAAGCATGGGTTACATCTGAGTATTATATTGCTAGGAACATCTAGCAAGTACAAAGAGAGTGAGTCAAGAGTAAGTCACAAACTTTAGCACAAAACACATGCAAACTGGTGGGGCGGACACCGTATGAAAACTGGGAAGGATAAGAGGAAGACGTGAGCCTAGGAGGAAAAGGGAGATGAGTGTGCTTATGGGGATGGAGATTTGAAGAAGTGTCACCAAGGTCATATGTTTATAGGTAGTGGACAGGGGGAGGTTCATAAGTAGGGGGGGGGTATTTTGGAGACTGCGCGGGGGTCAAGTGGTCTGAGGTATGTTAGATCTCTTTATGACTCTTGACCAATCATAGTCATATTGGTCCCTACCAACTAGGGACACTAAACCGCATAGTAGAAAAATGTGCAACTCGCATCACGCTAAAATGTCATATAAGTTACTTTGCCACGTGTAGCACAGCCCATTTGCATCAACATGCTGACCTATGTGTTTCACTTGAAAAACAAGCCAAAAAACAAACGCTCCCTCTACTCAGTGTGAATGGGGCCTGAAACTGAAATTTGTGCGTTTACACAGAACAAAGAGGCTCTATTCACATCTGTGTGTTTCTGAAACACATGGCAATCTGCACATAAAATGCATGTTTCAGAAACATGCTGCAATTGTGCACCGTGTTTGTATTGTCATTACATGTTAAAGGCACCCCAAGTGCGGCAAACACAACAAAAACTTCAGTAAACACACTGTGCTCCACTCCATAAAATGTTTTGGAGCTTTTCTGCGGTCATTGTTGCATGTATAGCAGCACATTCAAGTGAATGGGCTCCCTATGCGTGACGAGTTAAACAGCTCCAAAACACCCAAATAAAACAATGTTTTCAGTATTATTATTATTATACAGGATTTATATAGCGCCAACAGTTTGGTCATTGCTTTACAATATAAAGGGAGACAATACAGTTCAATATAAGAGGGATTTGAGGGCCCTGCTCCTTGGAGCTTACAATCTAGGAGGGAGGGGCTAGTGGTACAAAAAGGTAGTAATTGTGGAGGATGGACTGGTTAGAAGAGTAGAAGATTCCAGTATTAGCTGAGGGCAGGATAGGTTTCCCGGTAGAGATAGGTTTTCAGAGATCGCCTAAAAGTGAGCAGAGTAGGCGATAGTCTGATAAATTGCGGTAGAGAATTCCAGAGGATGGGGGAAGCTCTGGAGAAGTCCTGAAGACGAGCATGGGAGGAGAAGACAAGGGAGCTAGAGAGTAGGAGGTCTTGAGAGGAGTGGAGAGTACGGTTTGGGTGATATTTAGAGACAAGATTGGTGATGTAATTTGGGGCTGAGTTATAAATGGCTTTATACGTTATTGTTAGTGTTTTGAATTTTATCCGTTGGGCAACGGGAAGTCAGTGGAGGGATTGGCAGAGAGGGGTGGCAGATACAGAACGGTTAGTAAGGTGGATGATTCTGGCAGCAGCATTCAGATAGACTGAAGAGGGGATAGCCTGCGATGAGGTAGGCCAATGAGGGAGTTACAATAGTCAGGGCGAGATATAACAAGGGAGTGGCTAAGTTGCTTAGTGGTTTCCGAGGTTAGGAACGGGCGTATCTTGGAGATGTTGCGGAGGTGAAGTCTACAAGATTTGGACAGTGATTGGATTTGGGGCTGAAAGGACAGATGGGAGTCTAGGATTACACCTAGTACCCATGAGGGGAGGGACTGATGATTGTGTTATTGATCTTGATGGAGAAGTCAGGGGAGGGGGCACGGGCTGGGGGGAATACTAAGAGCTCAGTTTTGGAAAGATTGAGTTTGAGAATGTCACTTAGTAGGTTAGATGCAAGAGGAGACTGAAGGGGTGAGGTGAGGGGTAGAAAGATAGATTTGTGTGTCATCAGCATAGAAATGGTACTTAATGCCGTGGGAGTTTATCAAGTGACCAAGAGAGGAGGTGTAGATGGAAAAGAGAAGGGGTCCAAGGACAGAACCTTGAGGGACCCCTACAGAAAGAGGGAGTGAAGAGGAGGAGACAGCGTTGTAGGTAACACTGAAGGAGCGATAGGTAGGAGGAGAACCAGTAGAGAGCAGAGTCTCTGAGGCCAAGAGAGTGGGAGTTTTTTCTTGAGGAGGGGATGGTCAACCGCATCAAAAGCCACAGAGAGGTCAAGTAGTAACAGTAGGAGTAGTGGCCAGTTAGTAGATCATTGAGTTTTAGTAGGGCAGTTTCAGTGGAGTGGAGTGAGCGAAAGCCAGACTGAAAAGGGTCAAGAAGGTTGTTGTCGGTGAGGTGGAAGCTCAGGCAATTGTAAACTAAGCGTTCTAGGAGTTTAGAGGTAAATGGAAGCAGGGAGATGGGTCTTAAGTTGTTCAGGTTGGTGGGGTCCAGGGAGGGCTTTTTAAGTATGGGAGTGATGTGCGCATGCTTTAGAGGGGAGGGGAAGGCACCAGTAGAGAGGAAAGCTTGAAGATGTGAGTGAGGGAGCATAGGATGGAAGAAGAGGGTGACCGTAGTAGTTGTGAGGGGACAGGATCCAGGGGGCAGGTAGTGAGACGGGCTTCTGAGAAAACCTTATTGACCTCTTCGGTAGTGGCAAGGTCAAAAGAGAAAAGTGTTGAGGGAGGTTTAGTATAAGGTATGCTAAGTGGGATGGATGCCTGTGCAGTGGTGATGCCCCTACAAATTGCATCAATCTTGTTTTTGAAATGATTTGCAATCTTGTGAGCAGTGAGTGAGGTACTGGGTGGGGGTGGAGGTGGAGAAAGTAGAGAGTTAAAAGTAGAGAAGAGACAACGAGGACTGGATGACAAGGTATTAATAAGAGTGACAAAGAAGGCTTGTTTGGCAGCATGAAGGGAGGACTTGTATGTTAAGAGAGCAGATTTATATAGGGTGAATGCTTGTTGAGATTTGGTTTTATGCCACAATCGTTCCAGCGCACGACTATGTCGTTTAAGATTTCTGGTGTCGTCAGTCTGCCAAGGTTGTAACGGTCGTGGCCTGATGCTTCGTGTTGTTAGAGGAGCAAGTGAGTCTAATGTGGATGAAAGTGAACTGTTATAGACAGCAGTGGCCAGGTCAGGGCAGGACAGGGGAAAGATTCTGTCATAGAGTTGGTCAGATGCAGAGTGGAAAGGAGCAGGGTTCAAGTTGTGAAGGTTTCTGCGGGTAATTGTTTGCTGCTTGGAGGGATAGGTGTTTGAAGACAAGGACACTGTGAGGCAAAAGTGTTCACTACATGGAGATGTGAACGGGGCCTGAAAATTGAGCGTCTCCATCCACTCCCTCCTATGAACTTGTATAAAGGTGGCCATACACTATGAAATCCGATTGTACAATTTGCTTTAAATTTACCAGAACTATGGAATAGGAGGACATACCTGAACAATCAATTCAATCTGTAGCAAATCAGACAGATCCTTGTACTACATTGCTGATGGGAGGAACCAATGGACTGCAGACACAGTATAGGGGATGACCAGAGACTGTGGACACAGTACAGGAGATGACCAGAGACTGCAGACACAGTACAGGGGATGACCAGAGACTGCGGACACAGTACAGGAGATGACCAGAGACTGCGGACACAGTACAGGAGATGACCAGAGACTGCGGACACAGTACAGGAGATGACCAGAGACTGCGAACACAGTACAGGAGATGACCAGAGACTGTGGACACAGTACAGGGGATGACCAGAGACTGCGGACACAGTACAGGGGATGACCAGAGACTGCAGACACAGTATAGGGGATGACCAGAGACTGCGGACACAGTACAGGGGATGACCAGAGACTGAAGACTCAGTACAGGGGATGACCATAGACTGTGGACACAGTACAGGAGATGACCAGAGACTGCGGATACAGTACAGGAGATGACCAGAGACTGCGGACACAGTACAGGGAATGACCAGAGACTGTGGACAGAGTACAGGGAATGACCAGAGACTGCGGACACAGTGCAGGGAATGACCAGAGACTGTGGGCATAGTACAGATGACCAGAGACTGCAGACAGTACAAGGGATGACCAGAGACTGCAGACAGTAAAAGGAGATTACCAGAGACTGCGGATGTTTGGGGAGGGAGGGGGAGTGGGTACCTGAATTTGACAGGTACCCGCTCCCACTTCCGCAGAGTTGTCCTTCCTTCTTCTTCCCGTGGCGGCTTCTGTGACAGCCGGGTGCCCACTGCGCATATGTGAGAAGCGCTGCGCTTTGTGAATGGCCCGGAGCCTTCTGGCCAGAAATACCAGACCGGCCGCTTTACATTCACTCCATAAGATGCACTGACATTTTCCCCCCTTTTTTGGGGGGAAAAAATTGCGTCTTATGGAGCGAAAAATACGGTAATTAATACATTTTCCCCTATAGACTTTATTAAAATTTTAAGTTCCCAAATTTAAGACTTCACAATGAGTTTGACAAACCCCTTGTGTACTGAACCCAGACATATTCACTCCCTATTGGTAGCTTAAAATTAAAAAAACATACAGACTGTAATTCAGACCTTTCATGGTAAAGTCAAGTGTTCACAGCTGCTTCCTTGGAGAACTCTGACATGAGAAAATGAGCAATTAAATAGCCTCATATGCATAGGTACTGTTTGATGGGATAACAGTAGGAATAGAATAACTTTAAGTTGTGGTAGATCTTACCACATTGGTTAGTTATTCAAATAATTGAAGCAAAAAAGGACTAGATGACTTTCTTATAACTGCAGCTTTCCAAAGTTGTAACTAATGAAAATGAACAGAGTAATAGTTTGATCCTAGGAATATATCTGATAGCTCTCAGGGTATAAGAAAATAATTTCTCTTTCAAGCTGTGTGGCAAAATTGCCAAATATTACCTATCAGACTTTAGTTTGTCTAGCTCAAGATCAAAACTGCAAGAGTTTTGAGAGGTTGATCTTGATGTATATCTGTTTATTAAACCTATATTAAGGCATATGTAAATTCAAAAAATGTTTTTGTGACAAAAGATTAGACCATCTGCAAAGTTTTATTGATTAAAAATAAGTGCTCATCATGTTGATGGATAACAGCGCTGCCTATCCATATAAAGTGGTGCATTAGATGGAAGTAACCTAAAACAAAATAAACTATAAAATTGAAACTATATCAATTGTGTAAAATATTTGCATGTAAACAAGCATTAGTCTGTGACTAAACTCAATCATCCACACTGGTGTCAGTGCTCAGTGTGGATGATTGAGTTTGGTTACGGACTGTTACTTATGTAGCTCTACTCCCTTAGGAAGCACAGGAATACTGCCCAGGTCCTCCCCAAATGCCTTGCTCCACAGTCAGGCACATAGGCTTACTCACTCATTTCTCCAATAATCAGTCTAGAAGTGTTGTTTTGTTGTTTGAAGAATAGGGATAGGGATGAGGGAGATGAGTGGGACACTCCAGATTAGGAACTATGTACATTGAGGACTTTGTCTAAAGACCAAACTATATCCAATTCTGTACATAAATGAAACAGTGAACTTCAGCTTTAAGCAGTAGCAACAATTAGTAACTTCTTTGGAGCTCCAAAGTAGTTTTAAGTACTAGTGAGCAGATGGACAAAGCTCCTCAGAACCCCAGACGGTATTCCCTTTGCTAAATCCGCAGCTGACTTTCTAGCACCAGAGGGGGTTAAACATCACAGTCTCAAAGATCCTTAGGGATGTCTGTACCCACAAGGCCCAAGAGAAACTGGACGCCTTCCTCCATGATACTAGACCAAATCTTCAGCAGACAGCGCCTCAGGTAGCCCACCTGAAGCCTATGGCAGCAGCTGCCTGGGAGGGTAATGTGCCCTCTCCTAGTCTTTCGAAATCCTAGCCTGGAAAGGCCCTGGACCCCATATGCTCAGTGAATATATACAGTTAAACAATAAAGAAAAATTCCCAGCTCAACTTACCAGCCAGCCTGCAAGAAACCAAATTTTCCTGTCTAACACTTCATGTTAAAAACAGGGGTTTAGTTTGCACACATTTGTAAATACATGAGTAAGCTGCAGAGCCACTTTGTGACACCCCAATATTATCTGCAGTTTTAACTCTATAAATTTTGAGAGCCTTGAGAGCCTCCATCGTAGGAGCACATATATAATAATGGATAGCTTGAAGGCAGGTACGCCTGGAAGGAGCCCACCCCTCCTTAAAGGCACAGGGGCGCACTGGACACCCAGCATATAGCACAATGACAGCATAGGTCTTCAGTGCACTCCCTCACCAAATTACCAACAGTACAAACAAACAGCAACTGCCCCAACCTACAACTGGCCTTTGCAGCAAGGAGCACATGGAAGGGTGATGCATGTCAACTATATACAGTTACCCAGCATGTCTTGGAGCCTCTCACTCTGGGACAGGCTGAGGCTGTATCAATATTTATGCTGCTATCTGCATAACTCCACAGCTATCATCCAGAAACTTCTCTAGTCTTCTGGATACAGAGGATGCTAGGCAGACTAGCAGCACCTGAGTACACAGAGCAGATCTCGCTAGGTGGTACAGTACAGTAAACTAATTATACTTTTCCCTATGGGCTAACAAAATGTTTCCCTCCTGCCCGGAGACTTTTTTTAGGTTTTACATTTCATATGTTCCATCAATAAAAATCTCTTATTAATCTATTATCACAAGTACAAAAATACAAAACTTCCCCTTCCCCCCACCCTAACCCAATTGCCACCCCCCCTTCCCTCCCCTTCCCCCACACTCCTTCCACTCAGCATCCTTCCCCTATCTTTGGGGGTCCCAGGGTTTTCATCAATTTCTAAATACTTTCAATTAGCTTAACCTTCTTAAACTCCTCCCATTTTTTTCCATTTCTCGCGGAAGCACTCTATTTTATCATCATCTATATGGTATAGTGCCTCCATTTTATATATCTGATCTACTTTTCTTATGCAATCCATTGTCTTTGGTGTTCTTGTTCCCTCCAGAATTTAGGAATCAAACTCTTTGCTGCGTTATTATAATGCAATAACCTAGAATTTTTGTATTTTTCACCCGTTAACTCTGTTCCATGTAAAAGACATATCCTTGGGTCCTTTGCTATTTTTATCCCAGTTATTTCCTGTATCTGGTGGATTATTTCCTCCCAATATTCCTGAATTTTATAACACTCCCACCAAATATGAACCACCGTGCCCTGTTCCCTGCATCCCCGCCAACACAAAGGTGAATTATCCCTGTTTTGTTTGTGTACTATATTTGGTGTCATGTACCACCTCGCTAAACACCTATAATTCATCTCTACATCTTTCATATTTACATTACCATGTGTTAACTTATAAATCTTTATTTGTTTATCCTCCTCCAACTTTAATCCTAATTCTCTTTCCCATTTCTCCATATAAGCAGGGATTGTGTTTATTGTCAACCTAATGAGAATTTTATATATTTTTGAAGTTCCATGTTTCCCATCACCCCGTTTACTAAACAAATGCTCAAATAGGTTCCACTTTTCTTTCTTCCTTAAGGGCCTAGGGAGTTTTTCTATAAATTGTTTCATCTGCAAATACCACCACTCATCTACCCTAGCAAACAACTCCATCTTCCTTTTCATTTCCACTAGGGGACAAATTTCCTTGCTTTCATTATGTCTCTTAACTGTGCATCTCCTTTTTCTATCCATCTCCCTGCAACTTTTTTATTCCCCAGTAGGAAGAAATCTGCGTTTACTATGGGCATCAACACTGAGTTAAATTCCCATCCAATCTGTTTATGTATTGTGTCCCAAGTTTTCAAAACGATTTGTGTAAATATACTTGTACTATCTGTCAATATACGACAGTGAGGTGGTAACCATATTATCCTACTCAAATGTGTTTTACTTAATGTGTTTTCTATATTTATCCAGCTTTTCCCCTGTGCATTATGTGTCCAATCAAAAATTTGTGCTATCCATATTGAATTATAATATCTTTTAAAATCAGGAACTCCCAACCCCCCATTCTCTTTGTCTCTAGTTAGAACTTCGTAATTTATTCTAGGTTTTCTATTTCCCCATATAAACTTTATCATAATTTTTTTCATTATCCTAAAATACATTCCTGGCAGCTTTATTGGGTTCATATGAAATTTATATAAAATTTTTGGAACAATTACCATTTTTATCATATTTATTTGTCCTATCCAAGTTATACTACCTATCCCTAATTTTTTCATTTCCTCCTTAATTTCGTTTAATAGTGGAATATAATTTGCTTTATATAGGTTCTTTGAGGATACGGTTAAATTTATTCCCAAATATTTTAGTTCTTTTTCCTTTCACGAGAAAGAAAATTCTTTTTGTAAAGCTTTTTTCTCTCCTCTTGGAAGATTTATATTCAAGATCTCTGTTTTAGTTGCATTGATTTTTAGGTTAGACAGCTCCCCATATTCTTTCAGAGTTTTCATTAAATTAGGTAAAGTTATCCTTGGGTTACCTACGTAGAAAAGCAAGTCATCGGCATAAGCCGCTACTTTATGCTCTGTCTCTGAATATATAATATATATGTAAAGTGCTGCGTAAATTGACGGCGCTATATAAGTACCTGAAATAAATAAAATAAATGAAAAAAAAAAAATCCAAATTCCTTTGATATCTATGTTATTCCTTATTTTTGCTAAGAGGGATTCTAAGGACATGACAAACAACAAGGGTGACAATGGGCATCCCTGTTGGGTCCCATTATATATCTTAAAGCTCTCTGATATTTCCCCATTAACCTTTTTTGCAGCAGATGGTTGACTATACAATTTCCCTATCCATATTCTCATTCTAGGGCCCATCCCCAGAGCTTTCAGTGTATCCAACATATACCCCCAGTCTAATCTGTCAAACGCTTTCTCAGCATCTACCAACAATAACAAAACAGGGAATTTTTCTCTTTTACTTTTTTGTATAAGCAATAACGATCTTAGTCCATTATCCCTACCCTTTCTCCCAGGGACAAACCCCACTTGATCCATATGGATCCACTCCGGCATTAAATCCTTTAACCTATTTGCTAAAACCTTTGCATATAGTTTAGTGTCTATATTTACTAAGGATATCGGTCTATAGCTAGAACACTGTGTACTCTTTCCCTTTTGGTATTATTGTAATATGAGCCTGCGGGGATTCCTCTCTTATTTCCATCTCCCCTCCCAGTGCATGCATATATACACTCAGTTTAGGCATCAATTGATCTTTAAATTTCTTATAGTATCTCACAGTGTACCCATCCGGTCCCGGACTTTTCCCTGCCTTAGTACTCTTCAATGCACTTTGAATTTCTTATTCTGATATTAATCTCTTAAGGGATATTAACTGATCTTTTCTCAGTTTCGGTAACCCCGCCTCTTTTAAGTATGTCTGTCTCTTTTTACTTCTTTCTTTCTCTTTTCTTATGGACCATTGAGGATTGATATTATATAATTTACTATAATAATCTTTAAACACT